ATACTTATCTCTACTTATCAGTGTTCCCTACCCTACCCTCCCACCACCCCTGGTAACCAACAAAGAAAATTTCCTTCCATAGATAAACCTTTCCTTGACTTTTACAATAGCAGACTAATACAATATTTGTCCTTTTGTGATTGACTTATTTCACTCAGCATAATGTCCTCTAAGTTCATCCACGTTATGCGGTGTTTTGCAGATTCTACATTTTTCTTTAGCGTTGCACAGTATTCCATTGTGTGTATGTACCGTAGTTTGGTTATCCATTCCTCAGTTGATGAACACCTAGGTTGTTTCCATCTTTTGCCTATTGTAAATAGTGCTGCGATGAACATGAGTGTGCATAGTCTGTTCTTGTCATGGCTCTCAATTTAAGGAATACTTTATGAATATGATCACACCTCTAGAGTGGAACACAGGCACTAACCTCAGCACTGAGGAATGGGCTGATGGGCAAAGAGCCAGACTCAAGCGGTTGGCATATCCCTTCCCCTTCTACCCCTTTCACAGCTGACCCAGCATGTCAGTGTGGGTCCTGACTATTCACAGTCAAGCTCATGTCATGGAAACAATTTTATGGTTGAGAAAACTAACACAATTGCTAAATGTCCAAGTTATCTAGATATATGAGTGCAAGTTCTTGTCTCCTTCCCCATCAACATTCTCTCAGAACCAGCTATTCTATCACAGCTGAGGAGGCTCAGCATCATAGGGCAGCAACCTGTAAGGAAGAATTTGCCTCTGTGCTCATGTCCACCTGAACCCATACTGCTGTGCTCAAGGCCCAGAACAGGGGCCTCATTCATGAGCACCCAGCAACAAGGTCCACGGTGGCAGAAAGGTGTTCCTGCTAGGGAAAATGAGATGTAGCAAAGAGTACCTTTTTTGAGCTACTTATGAAAAGAGAAGTGAAGGTTAGCTAATGGGATAGCATTAATGAATGGTTTTCTTTGGGGGGTGGGGGGACAGATGATCAAAAAAAGTTATCTCTGTAATTGTTAGCTGTTCTTCAGTCAACTCTGACTCATGGCAACCCCACGTGTGCAGAGCAGAACTGCTCCATAGTGTTTTCAAGGCTGTGAAATTCTGAGAGCAGATCACTAGGTCTGTCTTCCAAGGAATCTCTGTGTGAGTCTGAACTGCTATCCCATCTCTACTGATCTAGAATTTACGTCAGCTGAGGGGAAAAAAGTGCTATACTTGATTTCTTAAAGTAGAGGAATGTTAGTCCACTCATGGCACAAAGACTACATTACACAAGTACAGTTTGCTCTCAGCTAGCTACATATCCATATTGAGAATGCACCACACATGCAGGGCAAAGGATGCCTCAGTTTGCCCAGTAAGGGGACACCCACTCCAGGATCTCTCTGCTTCACAGAAAACTAAAACTTCAACCAAGACAAGATGGGCAAATGCTGATACCTATTAAAGCAGAATGACGAGCCAAAATCCATTGCATGTGGCTCTCAGCTTATGTGTATGGTATAATGTTCCACAGTACAAGTGAAATCTCAAAATAAATAGACAAAAACAAGAATTATTTGGAGTTCTCCTTACTCTTTCTAAAAACAACTAGCTGATGTACAGCAAGATAAACATAATGAACTTCTGGACAATCTTGAGCATTGCCTTTCTCCTCCTTTCTCTTTCAAAAAGAAAACCAGCACTCCCTTACTCTCTTGCTCTCTCTCATTCGTTCCCTCTCATGATAAGATAATGGATGTTATAGAGCAGCTGAACTGTACAAAGTGTCCTGAGCAGGAGAGATGCTCCAACCAGTACTCTTGCTCCCTACAACATGTGTTTAAACAACACACAAGTGTGCACACACAGACATGTCTCATTTATACCAAGAAGAGAAAGAAAAACTACTCTTCAAATGAAGCAATTGATATAGTACAACCAAAGCCCAAGTTATAAATCTTGGAAAACGAAGCCATTTTATTTTGAGAGCCCCTTGATCTGGCTCACCTACAAGCAATCTACATTCATGATCTGTGTGTGTGCAGTAGGCAACCCAAGAACAAGTATGATGTCCACCAAGCAGGACTACTCATGACGTCTCAGTTGGGTGCATTCAGGAGAAAGCCTCCTAACATTAACAATAAAACTAGTTGTTAGAAAGCTACTTGAGAGATTTACCTGACCCATCATCTCCCCTCAGCCCTCTAGAGCAGAAATCATCCCACCCATTTTATAGATTCACAGGGGTTAAAACCTTGACCACTCAAATATATGGTGACAAAGCCTAGCCTTTAGCCCAGGTTTGTCTGGGCCACTAGCCTGTGTTCCCAAGTTGGAGTGGCACTGTCTCCCACATAACATACATGGGATCAACTGTGTGTGCCTGTTGGATGGTGGGGCTGCTGACTGTGTCAACACATAAGACAACGAAGCCAGAACAGATTACATAGTGTCCTCTGTGGGTGTTCCCCATATCAAGCTACCTCCATCAAGGAAACAAGAGACAATGGCATGACAGATCTTTGAGTTCTCACTGCACCCTCCAGACTCTATGCCAACATGGCCACCACCCTCTGAGCTAGTGCAGGCTGGAGCTCTCAGCTGGCCCACCCACATCAGTGTGTGAGAAGGATCTGGAGGATGGCAATTTGGCTCCAATTCTTTGGTTCTCTCAGCTATGCTGACCACATGACAACTGATTCAATGATGATTTTCATTTTCCTTATTTCTACACATTAGAAATCACAGGTAGGTGTACAACCTAGCTAATAAGCACAAGAAAATAGGGTTCAAAATATGGAGAGACTCCCTAGGACTCCAATCTCTATTCTTGGGGGTTGGAGAGGAGCTGCAAGGTCCCTACTGACATTAGAGAGCAAAATACAGAGAGGCTCACCCTAGGAATTTGGAGCAATCCTGGATGGAGGAGGGTGGCACTCAGAGTATAGGAACAGTCCTTCCATTACTTTACATTTGTAGGCCACAGAGAGCTGTGCAAACATAAGCCACTCTCATATGGTTACAGCACCTTTCCTGAGTCTGACAAGCAATGTGTGGAAATGACACACATGACTAAAAACACCTCCAGTGGGCTGAGCCAGGATGTTAACCAAACACGGCTTCATGGAACTTTTCCATCATAATGATGTCACATCAACCTGATCTCTGCACTGGAAGCTGGACTCAATCACACAACTGGTTCAATGATCCTCTGGATGCAGGCTGGCTCAAGGCCCTAGCAAGCCCAGTGGAGATCACACACACAGTGAAGAGAGAAGTTAAGTTATCTTTCCTGCAAGGTCACCTCTGGTTGGCTACATCCATTGGGTGACCAAAGAGGTCCCTGTAATTCACCAAGTCACCAATGACACCAAGTTTCCTCCCTCCAGGTCCAGTTCCAACTCCATTCCTCTTTCCTGTAGGTCTTAGTTGGTGACAGCTTAGCTGTGACAGCCCTCAGTGCCTGCACTCTCTCTGGTGGTTCTCCCATGCCCACAACTCTGTAAATAAATCTTCAATTAGCCCACTGGAGTATGCTGTCTGTTTGCTATGAGATCTGCCTGATACAGGAAAGACCTGCTCCCCAGAGCCTCATGGCACACACATGCTCCAGCTTCCATCATAGCACTACTGCTCTGTGAGGTTCCCATAAGCACCCCACAGTTGATTCCTCCTGATCAAAAGGAAAGATCAGGTCTTGTGCGGGAGACTTGTGTGTCCAAAGGAGAAGCAGAAAACTCCAAGCCCCTCTGAATCTCCATGAATGACCTTGTCAGTGAGTAGGATGAGGTGGAGAGGAGCCTCAGAAAGATCACTCAGTGTGGCTCTACCCGAGGGCAGAACAGATCTCTGTCCAATATTGACACACATGAATGATGCTTCAGCTCTTGATGACCAATCTCTCCCTCTCAAGGTAAAGAAGTACCTCTGGTGCAACCATCACAAGAAGACTATTACAAAGAAAAAAGTGGAGGAGAGATATATGCTACGTGAAGCTCACTCTGAAAGATATACCTGGGGTGGCAGGGATGCAGGTAGATGGGTGGACTTCTGGGTTGTCCAGAAGGCAAGAGCAGTCCTCAGTGGGTGAGAACAGGCCTTAGGGATAGGAGCCACAGGAAGACAGTGAGGATATGTGATAATGCAGTACTACCACACAAAGCAGGCTCATCAAAGCTGGCCATCTACAACAGCCTCTTCAGAAAAGAAAAGTGCCTGTACCTTTCTGCCCCAACCCAGGCCCTTTAACTTTGAAAGAATGCCAAGAGACCCTTAGAGACCTCCAATCACATCCTATGCCCACTAAAGTTTGAATAGTATGAATCTTCCTTTCATGGCTATGATACTCCAAAACAACCATTAAGGACCATCTGCCTGGACCATTCTCCAGAGGAAATTTATAACCCCATAAATAACAAGATGACAAAAAGCAACTGCAAGTGTGCACCAAGGGCCCAGCCCCCCAATTTGCTTCCGGCTCTGTGATTGTGCATCCACTAAACCATTCAGCATCCCTCTCTTCTAGCCCCAATTGCAGGGATTCAAGGGAAGCATGAGAAATCACATTCTATCTCCACTGAACAAATCTATAAATGTACAATCACAAAACTATTAGTAAGTTTCACTGAAAACATCAAATCCTAAAGCTAGTGGCTTGGTTTAATAATAGGAGTAATGCCTTAACAATACAGTGAAATGACACATGAACTCTACCTCAGAAGGATACAAAAATTTCATTTCTAAACTTCAGCAAGAGTTCAGAAAATAAACCTGAATAAGCTGAGTTACTGACACTATAGGACAGACAAAGAATTGTTGTCCACTCTTCCATATGAGTAAGTTTACACTTTCTGGAATTTTTTTCACATGTGCACATGTTTTTGTAAATAAGGTTGGTCTCTCCCAAGTAAAGGTGCGGAAATTCTACAATTTAATTTTTAGTAACTCCCGAAAGAATGTTTTATTTTATTTTTTGTTTCTTTGCTTGCTTTGCTTTTTGCTTTAACCAGTGAATTACAAACATGACTTACCTCGGCATGAGATACTGTGACTATCAATAATTTGTTTGCAAACTCCACAGACTTTGGACTTTTTAAAGGCCTTGTTCTTGAAACTGTGTGGACTCGTAGTTAGTTCTTCTGCCTGAAAGAGTGAAGGAAAAAAATCAACTCTTCAATTCATAGTTTGTTATTTTTCTTTCTTTTCCTCTTCAGGAGATAACAAATTCAGTGGAGTTTGCAAAGGGATAAAACTGGAAATTTACCAAGCAAATAGAGAATGAGAAATCATCCTGGTGATAATAATTTGCAAGGCAAGGCTTCCACACCCTGCCAGACATTCTCTCTTGTAGAATCCTAATGGAGTTTATACTTTCAGGGCCTCTAAATTCCCTCTGTGAATGCACCAGAAGCATTTGAAGGATATTGCTTAATGTGATACCCCATTAGGCTTCCATCGGTAAGGCTTACAACCAGCTACTTTTATGATGAAGAAATGCATATGCACTTCCAGAATGTTTAATGTTTTTTTTTTCCTCTGGGAAAAGAATCATAAGCAAACACCACAATTATATTAAAAGCAAGCTAATGATTTTCCTGGTTCAAAAGTGTCCCAGAATCACCAAGATAACAATTCTGAGCAAGATCAGCCAGAGATAAGGTATCTTAAACACCATGTGGGACAGACTCAATCATAGGCATTAGGACTAGGAAGAAGTTAACCAATCATCCTCTAAGTTCATGTTTGTATAGTCAAGGTCCACAGCTTTATCTGTTAATCTTATAAAAATTCAATTTGCTTTTGAAACCAAATGTCAATCATTATATCTATTGGCTGATATGTAACAGTGTATTCTGTCACTAATATCCATATGGATTCAATAAGGCCATTAATCACCACCAGATGTGACATTTATATGTACATTATTTGAGAAGAAAGATTGTTCTTATAAAGAATGGGCTTCCCTAGAGGAGGAAAATATTTTTTCTTTGTAAAATGGTTTCTGTAACCATTGTTTGCATTTGGAAATATTCTGCAGAGGATATAAGCACTGGGCCGTTGTTTTTGCAGTACTGGAGTGTTGCAAATGGTTACTGACCTTGGCTGTTAACTGAAAGCATGGTGATTTGAGTCCACCCAGAGGCACCTGAGAAGAAAAGCCTGGCAATCCACTTCCAAAATTCAGCCACTGACAACTGTGGAGCACAGTCCTACTCTGCCAGACGTGGGGTTGCCAAGAATCAAAATCAACTTGACAGCAATTAGAAAAAAAATTCATTAGCAAAACTGAACTGACAAGACAAAATGTTTTCAAGGATGTGAAACAAAAGGTAGAACTATTTTTCATCTTGATTAACTATTCCATGTGCACTTAAAGAGAATGTGTACTCCGTTGCTGTTGGGTCAAATATGCTATAAATGTTAATTAGATCAAGTTGTTTGATAATATCCAAATCTACAGACTAGCTTATTTGCATATTTTGTTCTATCAATTAATGGAAATGGGGTGATAAAATATTTCATTATATTCATTTTTGTCTATTTTTTCTTGGGATTCTACCAGTTTTTGCTTCCTGCATTTTGAAATGTGATTTTCTTGTTCTTAAGTGCCATTGAACTGGTTTCAACCTATAGCAACCCTATGTACAATACAATAAAACAACACCTAGTCCTGTGCCATACTCTCAATCCTTGCCATTCTTGAGCCCATCATTGCAGCCACTGTGTCAGTTCATTTCATTAAGGAAATTCCCCTTTTTTGCTGACCCTTTGACTTTACCCAACATGATATCCTTTCCCAGGGGTTAGTCCCTTCTGACAACATGACCGAAGAATGACAGACGAAGTCTGGTCATTCTCACTTCTAAGGAGTATGCCAGCTGTGCTTCCTCCAAGACAGATTTGTTCATTCTTCTACCAGTCCATGGTACATTCAGTATTCTTCATCAGTACCACAATTCAAATGTATGAATTTTTCTGCAGTCTTCCTTATTCATTGTCAGGCTTTCACATGCATATGAGGCTACTAAAAGTATCATGACTTGGGTCAGGCACACCTTAGGTTTCAGAGTGTCATCTTTGTTCTTAAATATTTTTAAAAAATCTTTTGCAGCAAATTTAGCCAATGCAATACATCATTTGATTTCTTAACTGCTACTTCCATAGGCATTGATTGTGGATCCAAGTAAAATGAAATGCTTGACAACTTCAGTCTTTTCTCAATTTATCATAATGTTGCTAATTGGTCCAGTTGTGAGGATTTTTGTTTTCTTTATATGAAGTGTAATCCATACTGAAGGCTGTAGTCTTTGTTCTTCATTATTACATGGTTCAAGTCATCTTCACTTTCAGCAGGCAAAATTGTGTCCTCTGTATATCACAGCTGTTAATTAATCTTCCTCCAATGCTGATGCCATGTTCTTCTTCATATAGTCCAGATTCTTGGATTATATGCTCAGCATACAGACTGAATAAGTATGGTGAAAGGATACAACACTGAAGCATACCCTTCCTGATTTTCAACCATACACCATCTACTTGTTCTATTCAAACAACAGCCTCTTGGTCTATGTATGTGTTTTACACGAGCACAATTAAGTGTTCTGGAATTCCCATTTTTCACAATGTTATCCATAATTTGTTATGATCCACAAAGTCTAAAGCCTTTGCTTAATCAACAAAATCCAGGTAAATATCTTTCTGGTATTTCTTTGGTATTTGACTCCAGAGATCTCATGATAGAATTTTGTAGAACCAGTGATTTATTCACTGGTTCTACACCTTTTTCAAACAAAAAAAACAATAACTATGTATGTGGCCCTCGCTGGATAGAATACACAGGAATCAAATCAACTATATATATAGAAAGAGACAATGCAGAAGCTCAGTATCTTTAGTCAGAACAAGGCCAGTGGCTTACTGTAGAACAGACCATCAACTGCTCATATGTAAGTTGAAGCTGAAGAAAATAAAAACAATTTGTTGTTGTTGTTGTTATGTGCCGTCAAGTCAGACCCGACTCATAGTGACCCCTCCTTGGGTTTCTGAGGCAGTATCACTACAGAAGTAGACTGCCCAACCTTCCTTCCAAGGAGTGGCTGGTGGGTTTGAACTGCCAGCCTTCTGGTTAGCAGTCAAGTGCCTTAGGCACTACCCTACCAGAGCTCCTAAAAACAATTCACAGGAGCCAAAATATAACCATGAATATATTCCACTTGAATTTATATTTGATGCATTGAACACCAGTGACCAACAAGCTCGGGGATGACATAAAGGACATTATACATGAAGAAAGCAAAAGGTCATTAAAAAGATAGGAAAGGAAGAGAAGACCAATATGGATGTCAGAAGAGGCTCTGAAACTTGCTCATGAAAGGAGAGTAACCAAAGTGAATGGGAGAAATGATGAAGTAACAGCTGAACAGAAGATTTTAAAGGGCAACTCAAGAGGACAAAGTATTACAGTGAAATATGCAAAGACCTGGACTTAGAAAATTAAAAGGGAAGAACACATTCCGCATTTCTCAAGCTGAAAGAAGTAACAAAAATATACAAGCCTCAAGTTGCAATATTGTCGGATTCTATGGGCAAAAGGCTGTATGATGCAGGAAGCATCAAAAGAAGATACAAAGAACACAAAGAATCACTGTACCAAAAAGAAATGGTCAACGTTCAACCATTTCAGAAGGTAGCAAAAGTGATCAAGAACCAACGTTCATTAAGGAAGAAGTGCAAGCTGCACTTAAAGAATTTGTGAGAAACAAGGTGCCAGGAACTGATGGGATACCCACTGAGCATTTTATTATCGTTGTTGTCATTGTTGTTAGGTGCCGTCAAGTTGGCTCCGACTCACAGCAACCCTATGTGCAAAAGAATGAAACACTGCCTGGTCCTGTGCCAGCCTCACAATACTTGCTATACCTGAGCCCATCACTGCAGCCACTGTGTCAATCCATCTTTTTGAGGGCCTTTCCTTTCTTACCTGACCCGCCACTTTACCAAGCATGACATCCTTCTCCAGGGAATGGTCCCTTTTTACAACATGACCAAAGTAGGTCAAATGAAGTATGGCCATTCTCACTTCCAAGGAGCATTCCAGCTGCACTTCCTCCAGAACAGATTTATTCATTCTTTTGGCAGTCCATGGTACTTTCAGTATTCTTTCCCAACACACAACTCAAAAGCATCAACTCTTTTGTCTCCCTTGTTCACTGCCCAACTCTCACAAGCATATGAGGTAACTGAAATACCATGGCTTGGGTTAGGCACACTCTTAGTCTTCAAGAAGACATCTTTGCTCCTCAGCACTTGAAAGAGGTCTTGTGCAGCAGATTTGCCCAGTGCAATACGTCATCTGATGTCTTGACCGCTGCTTCCGTTGGTGTTAACTGTGGAACTGAGTAATATGAAATCATTGACAACTTTGATCTTTTCTCCATTTATTGTAATGCTGCTTATTGGTCCAATTGGGAGGATTTTTTTTTTTAATGTTGAGATGTAATCCATACTGCAGATTGAAGTCTTTAATCTTCATCAGTAAATGCCTCAAGTCATCCTCACTTTCACCAAGCAAAGTTGTGTCGTCTGCATATCACAGGTTGTTACTGAGTCTTCCTCCAATCCTGATGCTGTATTCTTCTTCATATAGTCCAGATTCTCAAATTATTTGGTCAGCATACTGATTGAGTAAGTATGGTGAAAGGATACAACCTAATGCACTCACTTCCTGATTTAAAACCATACAGTATCCCCTTTTTCTGTTTCAATGACAGCCTCCTGGTCTATGTACAGGTTCCTCATGAGCACAATCAAGTGTTCTGGAATTCCCATCTTCTCAATGTTATCCATAATTTGTTATGATCCACACAATCTAATGCTGTTGCATAGTCAATAAAACACAAATAAACATATTTCTGGTATTCTTTGCTTTGAGCCAAGATCCATCTGACATCAGCAATGATCTCCCTCATTCCACATCCTCTTCTGAATCCAGCTTGCATTTCTGGAAGTTCTCTGTCAATATAGTGCTGCAACTATTTTTGAATTATCTTCAGCAAGATTTTACTTGCATGTGATATTAATGATATTGTTCAATAATTTCTACCTTCTGTGGGATCACCTTTCTTTGG